CATGGTCCGCAACGTCGTGAAGGCGGCCATGAACGAAGTGTACACATGCTCACAAGGGAGTATGCCAACTCGAGACTGGACAACCAAGTGGCAAAAGATAGTGCCCATGCCAGGCTTCGATTTGAGCTTTACCTATCAACGATCCGAGTTCTTCTCGCGATCATGCGCAGGACTGCGAACCGCACTCGGCAACGAGTACGATTACGCCTCATTCCAGGCTATCCTGGATCGTGGGAACTTGGTCATCCAAACGGACGACAAGGCCGCAAACGAACGGCAGTCCCAGCAGCATTATGTGGCTAAGCCGAGCTATCAACGACCGACACATAGCAATGCCGTGATTTCTGAAGAAACAGTCGATCTCCACGCTGCAACAACATCCTCGAGTGATGGAGGAATTGTAGCAGCGCTTCCGCCGAAGCGTCCCAAGAGAGTTCGGAAGAACAAGGCGACACAAGAGACGGCATCGATGGGAACTGGGCAGCAGCCATGGACGGCTTACAAGATAACCAAGGATGTCTATCACCTTCGTCAAAAGTACGGATACTGCCTTTGGTGCAGTGCAATCGAGTCACTCATTTGACCGCACAATGCCCCGAAAAGGGCAAGGCACGCGTACCCCGTCCAGCAAACTCGGAAAGCTGAGCTACGCAAGGAGAGGGGCGACGTCTCTCCTCACTACCGGGGAGCATGCGTTAGTCGCTGATTCTCGTGCTACGTACGAGGATTATGCCGCCCAGCTGGTACCACCACTAGACCAGCAGAGCCACGTGCACTTAGATCGCGTATGCGCAGCCTGTACACCGTCGGCAAGTGATCCGGTCAGTTCGCCACTGATTTCCGAGGACTCGACGGCGTGGTCAAGACTTGAGGAGCTTGACCCGCTCACGAGAGAGGACTTCGCTTGGATGCCTCTACCCTCAACCGGAACCTTGCCAAAGCCGCATTGCAATGCCTTAATGGCAAATCTACGCTCCTACTTGCACACTACAGTACCAGCTCCGTTGACGGACGACGGGGTAGCGGTTGTCGATCTCCGCTCCTATCTTGCGAAGATTGACCGCGAGTACGCCACCCAGAGGTACGCGGAAACCGACGCTCCTTTGCTCTATATCCGCATTCCAATCGGAAAGGCAACCTTTAGTGCCTTGATTGATTGTAGAGCGTCTCGCAACTTTATGAGTCAAGCCTTTATGGCCCGCGCAGGTCTTGGCCCGCGCGTTCGAAGGAAGACGCAACCCACGCAAGTTACACTCGCGGACGGCCGCACGCAAAAGTCAATTGACCGATGCGTCAATGGCGTTTCGATATACTTTGCGCCACTTGCGTGCGAGCCGGTGTCTTTTGACATCCTCGACACCAAGTTCGACATGATTCTAGGCATGTCTTGGTTGCGTAGCGCCGATCATCCGGTGAACTTCCACGACCGGACCGTTCACATCCGTGATCGGAACGGAGTGTTAGTCCCATATACGGTCGCGACCCCTCACACTTCGATTGCTTGTCACGTGGTTTCAGTTGCGAGAATTCGCGACGCCATAGCTCGGAATGACGTCGAGGAGATGGGCCTTGTATTCTTGCATGCTCTCCCCTCGCCCCACGCGTTTCTTACCTCTTGGACGAGTATAGAGACATCTTTGAGACTCCCACCGGAACGGTTCCGGATCGGCCCATACGTCACGGGATCACTCTCGAGGCTGGCGTCGTCCCTCTGCGTGGATGTATCTACCGCATGAGCGAAAAGGAACTCGAAGTGCTTCGCGCACAACTCGATGACCTTCTCGACAAGGGCTGGATTCGCCCTAGTTGTTCGTCCTACGGTGCCCCTGTTCTCTTCGCCCAGAAGAAGAACAAAGATCTACGGTTATGCATCGATTATCACAAACTTAACGCACAAACCGTAAAGAACGCCGGCCCTCTCCCTCGGATTGATGATCTCCTTGAGCGGTTAGGCGGCGCCATGTACTTCTCGAAGTTGGACTTGAAGTCGGGTTACCACCAAATCGAAATCCAGCCTCAAGATCGGTACAAAACCGCGTTTAAGACGCGATACGGGCATTACGAGTGGGTCGTCATGCCATTTGGCCTCACTAATGCCCCCGCGACTTTCCAAGCAGCGATGACGACTGAGTTTCGCGACTTGCTCGATCGCAGCGTCCTCATCTACCTCGATGACATCTTGGTTTATAGTAGGACGTTGGACGAGCACATCGTAYGCCTTCGCGTTGTTTTGGAACGTTTGCGACTGGCCAAGTACAAAGCGAACCTCGACAAGTGCAAGTTCGCCAAGCAGGAGCTTGAGTACTTGGGCCACTATGTTACGCCGAAAGGCATTCGCCCCTTAGCGGATAAGATCCAAGCCATCGTGGATTGGCCGGAACCCTGTTGTACGACGGATGTACGCTCTTTCATGGGTTTGGCTGAATATTAYCAGCGATTCGTCGAGTCATACTCGAAAGTGGYCGCTCCTTTGTCGAGACTTCAGTCCCCGAAGGTGCCCTTCGAGTTCGACGACGCAGCCCGTGGCGCGTTCACTACGTTGAAGGCAGCGATGCAAGCTGCACCTGCCCTC